GCAGGCAGCCCCGGTGTCCCCATCCAAACGTGGCACCGCGCCTTGTGTGGGGCCTTGCCTGGCAGCGGGCACACCCGTGCCCACGTCGCCTCTCGGGGGGTTGCCCATGCCCCCCAGTGCAGCCATTGCGCCGCAGCACCTCTGACGAGTGGCCGCGGAGCGCTGCTCAGCCCCCTCAAGGCTGCTGCCGATGTCTCTTGTTATTTAACTTCAAGACTAGAGGAGCAAAATCCCCAGGCGGGCTGACTCGCCCCCGCAGTGTGGGATGCTGCAGCTCACCCATGGGGCTCCGTCCAGGCTCTTTTCAAACGTCAGCACCGTCACAAAACTGTTCCCAGCCGAACAGACCCTCCCAGGAAGCTCATTTTAGAGCTTCTCGGCCACATCCACCACCTTGATTTCATGCCCTCCTCAGGCTCACCTCAGCCCCCTCCTTCCCACAGATGGTGCCTGGCTGTTCCCCCAGCCCCGTCCTTGTTTCCAGCGCCCACATTCTGTCCTGCCATTTTTCCCCAGCCACCGATCCTGCCACAGCAACGCCTTTGCAGCACAGCCAGCTTCGCCCTGGCTACTAGCCACCCCAGGGACAGAGCCAGTGTTCTGTGTGCGCAGGAGGACACTTGTGTGTTCAGGGTTATCGGGGACAGGCCAGCTCTCCCTGGGCCCTGGTACCCTTGCCCGCAGGCGCAGGACACGGGCAGAGCCCCTGCCCTTCTCATGCCAGCCAGCAGTTCTCACGGGTCCCAGCGTTTTTCCCTCTCCGCCCCCACGCAGCGAAGAGCTGGTGTCCCTGGCCCTGCAGCTGTGCAAAAAGCTTGAGGACACAACTCTCCCGGGCAGTGAACAAACAGCGACATCCCGCCGTCACTGTGCTTCGCACTCGCTCCATTTCTGTCCCCTTGTTTCTGCAGCCCGACCCAGCCTGCCCGAGCCCCCAGCGCTGGCTCTCAGCACACAGCTTTCTGCCCGAGCCGGGCTCTCAGCCTGCAATGCAGCGCCGCGCCGCTCTCCAACTGCGTGGTGTTTGGTGCAGGGATCGCAGCAGCCGCATGTGTTTGGAGCGGTAACGTGCTGCCTCCTTCCCCGCTCCGCTCCTTCACTGTGCGCAGCCCCTGCCAGCACCAGGATGGGGAGGAAACCCGCTCCTC